TCGAACGGTTGGGCAATTTTTGTGAACGGATGACACAGCCGTTCGAACGGCTTGACTTCCTTTTTAAACGGATCGCCCAAGCCGTTCGAACGGATGCAAATTTTTTCTGAACGGATGAGAAACGGCTTGTGAACGGATTTCCGTTCGAAAACGGGAAGCCGTTAGTGTACGTTTTCGCGTGAGAGGTCACAAATAAGTTTAATATCCGTAATTTGCACTACATTGTATACCAAAGTGCTGAAAATCAATAAACTTTTAATTATTAACCTAAAAAATTGAATATTTTAATCGACCCCGATAACTCGAAACCCCGCTAACTCGAACAGATTTTCGTTTCCCTTCAGAGTTTGAGTTAGCGGGGTTCTACTGTACTGGGTAAAGATTCCAAACAGAGCATCCATAGCAAATAAAGTACAAGCATACCCTCAGTGAAACGGAGGCTAGGAAAATGGTTGATTTTCAAAAGAGAGGAAGAGGGCGCCCAGTAGATCTGAAACCAGTTCACTTATCACCTCTTTATAAGACTGCCTGTGAAATCTCAAAGGTAAAGTTTTGTGATTTGATGCACCTCCTGTCTTATGTTCCACCAGTTCATCATAGATTTAACCATTTGCTTAAGCTCTAACAGGTTCAAGCCATCAGCAGTGGTAATGGATCAAGTGGCGAGGAAAGTGAAGGCAGTGTACGTATGATGTAGTCACTTTATAACAATTTTTCATTTATTTACTAAGAATGAAAAATGGTACGAATAAGGGTTTTCATTAGAAGGCAGCAACCTGCGATTGGCCTCCACATACTTTGGAAATTATACCCACCTACATTGCATTCTAGTTTCTCTTTTCTTCTTAATTTTTGTTCATTGCAGGGCCGCCTACTGAAGTTGGGGTGGACACCCTCTCTATGTTCCTTAAACTAACGCATCGTACGTTTGGTCCTTTCCTTTCCCCTTCTGATTTTTTTTCGTTTTCAGCATTACCACCCACCTGTTCTCTCAATAGTTTACCTGATGAGGTCATTTTGCAGATTCTGTCTGGTTTAAGCCTCCCTGAAGTTCAATGCACTGTGGCACGAGTAGCAACTGTTTCTACACGCTAAGCCACCATTCTTCATTGTGGTTCACAATAAGGTCTTCTGACAACACCATTATCAAAAATGTAGTACATTTCAGGGAGTTAACAATATACAACTGCAGAAATGAGACCAGTTTGGAATATAATTGTAAATGATGAATAACAGTGTATTAACTTGAAGGAGTGAGACATCAGCTTGTTTGAAATGCATCAGTGACGTTTCATTCCTTAATGACATGATACAGTTGGAAGAGTTATGTATGGATCAATGTCAAAACATCAGTCCTGACAAGGTCCTCAGAGGTCACCCTAACCTTCAGAAACTGTCCATAAACATATGCTTTGAGTTTAAGTCATGTCACTTGCAGCAGTTGTGTGTCAATGATAAAAAGAAAGGTACTTGAACAAAGCAGCAATTTAACACTTTTTGCACGGCTGACTCCAATCGCTTTTCTGAACAATTTCACTGTTTGGAATTCCGCGTTAAGAGACTATAAAGACTATTTTGGGGGGTGATCTCTTGTTTTTGCACAGGCTTACTGACTAGTATCTTTTTAAAATATGCAAAATGTTTTTAGCTTCTATTATAACAGAGTTCAAACAACATGCGCGGGCTACGTACTTGGGCGGTGTGCTGTTTTAGAGAACTTGCAGAAATTAAACTGGTTTCCAATTATAAAACGAGAGAGCTAGCACCACTGAAAATCACTCAAAAAGCCCTCTACGATGATGTCTGGCCTGATTACTTATGCCTTAAATTCCATATAGGCACTAAGTTGGCTATTCAAACTCAAAGAGACACTTTTCAGGACTCAGCAGCGAGATTATTTAATACGCTACCTGATAGGTTAAGGCAAGAGCCTAACTATAGCAAGTTCATTAGGTTAGCAAAGAAGCTCATGTTCTCCAAAGGAGAAAGCATATGACAAATTATTATTATTATTTTTACCCCCACTGACTTTTAATTGTACGTATTTTTTTTTCAAACCTTTCGTACTTATCCTTAATTTATTGTATACATCATTTTTAATTTAAAATCAGCTTGATTTTTTGTGATAATGTACTGTAGTTAGGGCATTAGTGGGCGAAGAGCCAGCTCGTGGAAGTACTACTAATGAAGTCGTTATTACTATTTTTATTATTATTATTATTATTAACNCAAAGGTAAAGTTTTGTGATTTGATGCACCTCCTGTCTTATGTTCCACCAGTTCATCATAGATTTAACCATTTGCTTAAGCTCTAACAGGTTCAAGCCATCAGCAGTGGTAATGGATCAAGTGGCGAGGAAAGTGAAGGCAGTGTACGTATGATGTAGTCACTTTATAACAATTTTTCATTTATTTACTAAGAATGAAAAATGGTACGAATAAGGGTTTTCATTAGAAGGCAGCAACCTGCGATTGGCCTCCACATACTTTGGAAATTATACCCACCTACATTGCATTCTAGTTTCTCTTTTCTTCTTAATTTTTGTTCATTGCAGGGCCGCCTACTGAAGTTGGGGTGGACACCCTCTCTATGTTCCTTAAACTAACGCATCGTACGTTTGGTCCTTTCCTTTCCCCTTCTGATTTTTTTTCGTTTTCAGCATTACCACCCACCTGTTCTCTCAATAGTTTACCTGATGAGGTCATTTTGCAGATTCTGTCTGGTTTAAGCCTCCCTGAAGTTCAATGCACTGTGGCACGAGTAGCAACTGTTTCTACACGCTAAGCCACCATTCTTCATTGTGGTTCACAATAAGGTCTTCTGACAACACCATTATCAAAAATGTAGTACATTTCAGGGAGTTAACAATATACAACTGCAGAAATGAGACCAGTTTGGAATATAATTGTAAATGATGAATAACAGTGTATTAACTTGAAGGAGTGAGACATCAGCTTGTTTGAAATGCATCAGTGACGTTTCATTCCTTAATGACATGATACAGTTGGAAGAGTTATGTATGGATCAATGTCAAAACATCAGTCCTGACAAGGTCCTCAGAGGTCACCCTAACCTTCAGAAACTGTCCATAAACATATGCTTTGAGTTTAAGTCATGTCACTTGCAGCAGTTGTGTGTCAATGATAAAAAGAAAGGTACTTGAACAAAGCAGCAATTTAACACTTTTTGCACGGCTGACTCCAATCGCTTTTCTGAACAATTTCACTGTTTGGAATTCCGCGTTAAGAGACTATAAAGACTATTTTGGGGGGTGATCTCTTGTTTTTGCACAGGCTTACTGACTAGTATCTTTTTAAAATATGCAAAATGTTTTTAGCTTCTATTATAACAGAGTTCAAACAACATGCGCGGGCTACGTACTTGGGCGGTGTGCTGTTTTAGAGAACTTGCAGAAATTAAACTGGTTTCCAATTATAAAACGAGAGAGCTAGCACCACTGAAAATCACTCAAAAAGCCCTCTACGATGATGTCTGGCCTGATTACTTATGCCTTAAATTCCATATAGGCACTAAGTTGGCTATTCAAACTCAAAGAGACACTTTTCAGGACTCAGCAGCGAGATTATTTAATACGCTACCTGATAGGTTAAGGCAAGAGCCTAACTATAGCAAGTTCATTAGGTTAGCAAAGAAGCTCATGTTCTCCAAAGGAGAAAGCATATGACAAATTATTATTATTATTTTTACCCCCACTGACTTTTAATTGTACGTATTTTTTTTTCAAACCTTTCGTACTTATCCTTAATTTATTGTATACATCATTTTTAATTTAAAATCAGCTTGATTTTTTGTGATAATGTACTGTAGTTAGGGCATTAGTGGGCGAAGAGCCAGCTCGTGGAAGTACTACTAATGAAGTCGTTATTACTATTTTTATTATTATTATTATTATTAACAGTATTAGTCCTCTTAAGGATACTTGACTTTAGTTTGAACAGTATGGTGGATGCATAGTTGGACTGTAATGTGGTTGTAGTTTGGTGATAAACTGCTATGTCCTTACTTTGCATGAAAACACTGATATAATCGACGATTATTTTTTCTCTTTTGAGCCTTACATGTTATTCAAAGAACCTAGTTCTGGCTCATTAATTGACATTGTTCAAATAAAATTTGCTGGGCTTCCTTGCCCCATTTACGATCATAGTTTAAGGGCCCTAATTTGGGTCGCACTTGTTCATACATGTTGAAGAAAATGCCTGAAAATAATGACTGTGACAGAACTGTGGCCATTACTGTTATCTGTTTTCACTAAATCTTAAAATGAACATTGCAATGCTGGTAAAGATAACATGTATCATGATGTAAATAATATTCCTATTAAGAATTTCCGTCAAAAAGTATGCCAATATTTTTTTACTGTACTTCAATTAAAAGGTATATTTCTGTAACATAACTTATAGTTGGTTAGCTCACTATGGCTCCGAATGCGCAATTTGAGACCATGGGTATGGCCATTGGACAGACAGCCTCCATAAGCGCAAAGCTGTCCGAGGAAGATGTGAACCTCCTTTCGAAATGTAGCCTAGTGCTTATGTTGATCTCTCTTGGCCATCAGAGTTAAAAGCCCTTTCACTATTGGTTTTGCAATGATGTCCTCTCTCTACTGTAGGCGCATAAGGTATAAAATAGCTGACATATAAGTACATTGTCATTCTTTCATGGTTAAACGAGAGGAAGGCATCAAAGAACTAGTAAAATAGATCAGACCAAAGAATGACAGAAAAGGAGAAAGAAAAAGGGATATCCCTAGCAAGGTATTTCATACAAGCTGCATTTGCTTTCTTAACTAACGTATTAGTAAAAGAGACAAACACTGAACTTTGATATTTCTTATCTTATTCAGAACCATCAAGTTGCTAAAATGCCACAAAATTTACGAGAAAGCTCTACTTTTACCCAACAAAATAGGATGAAGGATGGAGGAGGAGTGTGGAAACTAACTTAAAGTGAAGATGAGGACTTGACTGTTGATTACTTTTCAGCCAAAGCCATTCAACTGTTATTTCCTCAAGGGGTTTCTATCAGGAATGATCGGAAACTATGCTCAAAACAGCATTTCCTCCTTCAAAGACACGACAGGGAAAGAAATTACCTCTCAGTCTCATGGAATATTTGCAAGCAAGTCTTCAACATGTACCTTATGTCATCAGTCCAACGGAAAAGGAAGACAAGAGTAAGGGAAAGAGTTAAAAGATCCTCTGCAGATATTAGAAGAGAATATATTGACAGAAGAAACGTTTTCAGGGGATGCAGTGAAAGTCTGATGATAAGTGTAGCAATCAAAAGCACCTCACGTGAGGTCATTCACCAAAACCAGAATTGGCATTGCTGGGTGTTGCCCAAAGGGAAGATATGGAAACTCTGTGTACCACACAATCTTATGCTTCCTTCAACCGTCCTTGCAAAAAACCCAAATGTTTTGCAGTATACTGAAGTAGCAAATTGTAAATCATTCCACATTCCACAATGTCTACTCCACGTCTCACCAAGCTTCGAAAACAACCAGACAGCACTTAGGTACTACATCAAAAGCACTTAAGGTATCATCCAGGGTAAAAAATCATCATTTTTCGAAATTTGCAATTTTTAGATGATTACGTAGAGCTCATCAAGAGCTTTCTTTTTTGAAGGACCGGGACTGGAAGGCGAGAGAATTAAAGGAGACGGATTTCAAAATTTTTGAGGACTTACCCAAAGAACTGTTCAGTTTAAGAAAGAAGTATCTGCCTGCCTTTTATGAAGCCAAGAAAGCAGGGAAGAAAGAGGTTTTTAGCAAATCCGAACCGGATAAACTGTTTATCGATGGTAATCTTATTGTTTAAACCGTGTTAGGCATATGATATTCGGTAGGAAGAGTAAATACATNCCCCCCAAAAAATTTTTTGTCATCTGCACTTCATAACTGATGTTTACTGGTTTCAAAATTTTGATTTTCACTTTACTGGTTGGTGTTTTTGTCTTTTAATTTTTATTTTCACCACCTCTTTGATCACAGTTTCAACTATGAGTGACAGTGAGAGCTCTGATTCTGAAGAAGGATTGTCTGAAAATGAAGAGCTGGGCCTCGATGAAGAGATGGAAGATGATGGAACTGACTGGGAAGATGCATCCTCGGATGAAGATGATGATGAACCGCCTGCGAGAAGGGTTAGACAGGAGTGGAGTGAAGGGTATAACACTGCTGATCCTTATAAGCCTTCTGTTACATTCAACCCCAGAAGACCCCCTGGGCCTCAGTTAGCTGACAGAACTAGGCAAGATGCTATGCTGCGGTTCAGCAAAGAGGAAGACTTTTTCAAATTATTTTTTCCGTCACCATTAGTTCAAAAACTCTGTGATTACACAAACACCTATGCTCAGGAACACATTGCTGATAATCCAAGCTATCAAAACAAAGACAAAGGCTGGGATTTGATATCTGTCCCTGAAATGTATGGTTTTATTGCCTGCTTGATTTTTATGGGCTTCGTGCAGTTACTTCGCCAAGAGTATTACTGGTCCTCTGCATCATTGTACAATGGCAACTGGGCTCGTTGTATGATTTCCTCCAGGGACAGGTTTAGGGCAATCATGGCATTTTTTAGATGCAATGATCATACAGCTATGGATAACGATGACAAACTCCGACAAGTAAGGTACTTGATTGAAAATGTCAAGCAGTCCTGTCAAGATTATTTCCAATGCAACAAGGAAGTTGCAGTTGATGAAAGAATGGTGCGATCGAAGCACAGATCTGGTATACGTCAATATAATAAAGACAAGCCTACAAAATGGGGTCTGAAACTATGGGTCCTGGCTGATTCAGATACGGGTTACACATATAATTTCAATGTGTATCTTGGAAAAACCAGAACAAGAACGTCACGAAAAGGGCTTGGCTATGATGTGGTCATAGAACTAACGGAGTGCTTGCGTCAACAAGGTTATCATGTATATACTGACAATTTCTACACCTCCCCTCCTCTTCTGAA